CCTTTTTTTTTTTTTTTTGTACTGGGGATTGAACTCAGGTCCTTGCTCTTTCGAGGCAGGCAGTGGCACTACTGAGCTAAATCCCTGGCCCTTTATCAATGCTTTTTTACATCATTTCATTTTCAAACTTTTAAGCATTTTTGAATAGGATGTGATCTCTCTACAATAGTTATTTTCAAAAGCATACTTAGCCTGAGTCCTCAAAGCAATCTCTCCCCATCATCACCGGGATCAGCTTTGTGTTACCTGGGATGGGAGGAGACATGGCTGCCACCCAGTACCCCAGCTGGGGGGCAATGTATGTCCACGTGAGCTGGCTGCCCTCCTGATGCACCAGGCCCAGACCACTCTTCAGCCACGTTCCTGCAGGATTCAGAACAGAACTTCAGCTATATGCATGCTAAATTCCTGTTTAAGGTTTAAGTACTTGTAAAAGTCACCTTAAATGTCATATTTATGACTCATTCTACAGTCCAGACAGTCAAATGACCATGTAGGGATTACATATAGCATTCTGGAAAAATTCCTTGCAACCTCCCTTCATGGAAAAAGGCGAACAGCTTTAGTTGTAATCTGTGTTCCCATCAAATTAACTTCAGCCACTTTAACATCCCTCTTTCCAAACAGAGATAATTTTGGCAGAAACATTTGGAGTCCAGAAGTAGAATAACAGCAGTGTGTTAGGGGTTGATGGAAGTGGAAAGGAGAGGAGAGAATTTAGCACTGTTTATTATCTTCACTCTCAAGCAAGGGAGCAAATTTCCTACCGCACAGGCTAGGTCAAAATTGCTTGGGAAAGTTTTAAAAAAATATAGAGTCCTCAACCCAACCTTTGTAAATCCTGGCTCGGTAAGGCTGGCTTAGATGAGTATTTTGAAAAGCTTCACCTGTTCTGAGGTCAGGAGGTACCACGTAAATCGGAAGCCTGGGTTCAATCTGTAGCTATTACTTTAACTTACACTTACCACCAATGAACACTTCCCACGCACTCACTGGTGACAGTGTCTGCCTCTCACACACATTCTCTGTAATTTTCACAACAGCCCTATGTGGTTCAGTTTCTTCCTTTGGATGGGGACATCAAGGACGAGTGAGTTCACGATGTTGCCAAGGCCTGTCAGTACTGGAGAGGACAGCACAATGGGACCTACACCTGTCTGACCCTCAGGCAGAGGTCCTTCTCCTTTTCTTTTCATGATATTGGGGACTGGACTCAGTGCGCTTGCAGAGAGCTGTATCACCAACATTTTTCTTATTTTTTTATTTTGAGCCAGGGTCTTGACGAAGTCACTAAGTTGCCCGAGCTGGGTTAGATTTTGCGATCCTCCTGCCTCAGCCTCCAGGAGAGCTGGAATTACAGGTATGTACCATTGTTCCCGGCTCCAGTCATTCCTTCCACTCTGTCATGATGCATTCCTCCACGTCTTTCAAGGTCTGCTTATTTTGTTACTGGTTATTTGTGGGATTTGCAGGTGCAGACCTATTAAGGGAGATTAATTTGCCCAAGGTCATTGGGCTCTTTCCCAGTCCAAATGGTAACCCTGGGCTCTCCTGAGGAGCAACCTCCTGAGGCTTGGAATGCCATGGTGGGTGGAAGGCAAAGCTGAGGCGGGCTGAGCTCTTCCACAGCTCAAGTGCAGCCTCCCTGCCCCACCAGCATGAGGCACGGGCTGCATACCCAGGCCTGCTACACTGCTATAACTATGCACGACTGGAGGTGGCCCTGCCGTGGGGCCCTGTGGTACTGCAGACCTCCACAGACCAAGTGCACCACATATCCACTCCTGGATCCAGTCCCTGCCTCCCCAAGTGCACAATTATTGAGGCAATGGTGGGTATTTTTTCTCCCAGAAGAAACAATACTTGGGCTGCTTCTAGGCCCTATCTGTTGCCATAGAAACATTAAAATGCAGTGGGTGGAAAGGTGCCTCCAACCTCACAGCCCCTCCTCTGCTCAGCCGGCAGCTGCACAAAGGGGGAAGGTGGGAGCAGCTCATATTCAAGTGCTTTGCATTCTCCAGCTTTCCCATGTGGGTGCCTTTCATGTTAAGAGCAGATTATAAGCCAGAAGTTTTCCAAGACAAGTATGAGAACACACTCGCCCCAATCCAGCTTCATTTCCTGAACTACATCCACCCATAGACCATTCAGCAATGGAAAGAATCCCTCCTTCCAAGGGGCTCCTAAGGCTATGAAACAAGATGGAGTAAGTAACTTTCTCTGCAGGGAGAGAATGCGTTGTTCGTCCTTCCATGTCCTGTCCTTCCCCTGCTGCTCCATCCTGATTTGAACAACATACCTATCCCACTTGTGTATCCCCCGGCAGCAGCACGGCAGCCCCGGATCAGCCAGGAAGCATGCGCACTACCTGGTTCTCACTGTTCCCAGATTAGATTCTCAAGTCATTGCTCTTCCAATGGGACCATTGCTAGGTAGCCAAATAGAAACTGAGGGTAAAAGTTGGACAATGAGTCCTAAGTCCTGCTTGTTTGTGACTAAAACTCCTATCTTTATCCTTGAGTTGCTTTTGCCTTCTACAACACAAGAAAATTAAATGGCTCATACCTAAGACTTCTGCAAGTTGTGGTAGCACATGCCTTAAGTCCCCCACTCATGAGCTTGAGTCCAGAGGATCATGAATTTGAGGCCAGCTTAGACTAGACAGGAAGCCCAAGGCCATCTTAGAATACAGAGTGAGAGCCAAGAAAGAAACTTAGAGGGATGGGGATTTAGCTCAGCGGTTCCGGTGCCTGCCTCACAAATACAAGGACCCGAGTTCAATCCCCAGTACCAAAAAAAAAAAAAAAAAAAAAAAACCCTACAAAATAAACTCATTAAAAAAAAAAAAAACAACAAAAAGCTGGGTGTGGTGGCACATACCTGTAATCCCAGCACTCAGGAGGCTGAGGCAGGAGGGTTGCTGTGTTCCAGACCAGCCTGGGCTACATAGTGAGTTCCAGATCAGTCTCAACTACATAGTGAGACCTTGTCTCAAAAAAGTAAAACAAAACAAAAAACAAAACAAAAAACAAAAAACCGACGGCGTGGCAGGGGTAGTTGTTGTACTGGTGGAATCCAGAAAGAACAGTGCTGCCAGTGGTGGTGGATAAATGTCAGGGTGGGTTTAACCTTGATGAGTGAACGGGGACCAGCAGAAGCAAGAGGGCATTCTAGGAATGAGAACATCAAACACACAGACAGGAACAGTGGGCATGCAGGATGGCCACGGCTGGGCAGAGGGAGCAGCTGCATCACTGCTGGAAGTTTAGCATTCACCTGGGTGGGGCTTAAAACGCCACTAGTAACAGGAAGCCACCGGGAACATGCGGACAAGGCAGCACACCGTGGGTTTGTGCAACCTGCCTCCTACTGCCTCACACCCCTACTGAGTTCTCGCCAGTCCAAAGCATACTTTTACCCAGGGCTGCATCCATCTTTGTCTGTTATTGTGTCTCCAAACTCATATAGCATTTCTTTTCTAAAAGTCTATCCATCTTTCAAGATCTAAATCTGGCCATGGGGTTTTTTTAGAGATCTGTTACATTTAGATCTTCCATGCCTGGCATTCCTAGGACAAGTGTTACTATGTCTTAATTTTTCAAAAACATGTGTTGCTAACTATGGCTCTAGGTCTTATCTCCACCATTACACCGCAGGCTCCAAGTGTGTGGCCTGTGCCTTTTATTCCTCTTGTCTTATCAGCTCCTAGAAATATCCACAGGGCAACAACTTAACAGTACTTCACACTGAGTGACAGCTAGAGGCACAACCCACAAAACAGCATCAGATAAATTATCTATGAACAGCCCGGGGTGGCAAGTAGGAAAGACATCCCTGTGGAAGTGTGACTTAAATGGGATGCTACCCTTCTAAACTCAAGGTGACAAAGCGGGCAGGGGCACAGTAATTTACTCTGGCACACATTTTCCTGTGAAATGCACACACACACAGCCAGGGACTACAATGTGACACTGTTTCAGAATTCAACAATCATGCTGTTACTGGCAAAAGCATTTTCCAAGTTTTCTGTATTTTGTGGGAGGAAATAAGCTGTGGGGAGTACAGAATTAATGACTTGTGTACCCACAAATATACGCTTCCCATTACTGGCACCCTGATGCTGCTGAAGGCTGAGGGCTGTTTCTCCTCTTGGGCAACAGGCACACATAAGATTTTTACACTCCAGCCTGGGAAATGAGGCTGGGGTTCTTTACAGGTGACAAGTTAGCAGAGCCAACAAACCTCTTGAAGTCTCTTCTGTTGCATAAGGCGATGTGGTGTCTAGGAGCTGCAACCAGGATGCTAACAGGGGATGGAATTTGCATGTGCAGGGTGGCAGGTGCTGCTCAGCAGAACAAGGGACCAGCTTGCTCCTGCTTTAACATAACAGACAGCGTCGGCAGCAAGGCCTCCTACTGTTCTGCAGTCAGCTCACCTGCTACTGGGTGTGGTGGCCTCTGGATACCTGGATATTCCTGGGCCAGTGCATCTGCCCAAAGGGCTGTCTGGGTCAGCTCCTCACCTCTGATACACATGCAGGGCGGGCTCTCACGTCCTACCAGGGCCTGGCTGAGCTGCCTTCTCAGCTCACTTCCTCTGGGCTTCTTTCTCTGCCTTCCCCCACCTACTCTTTCCCGACTTCCTAGGACTCCAGGGCAGTTAGGGTGGAGTTCTGACTTCCCTGATTTTGGGATTGCCCTGGGGGTGTGTACAGCTCACTTCTAGGTGGGTCCTGGAGGTGTGGCCTCTGGGTCTCAGGCATTGCTCCCCTGCTCTGTTTCCTGGTGTCCTGAACCAAATGGCTTTGTTGCCCCATGCCTCTCCAACATGATTTTCCTGCTTAAGAGCCAGCTGGCCATGGACTGAAACTGTGAGCAAATCAAACCTCTTCTCTTTTAAGTTGTGGGTGTTGGGTATCGTGTCTCAGTGACAAACAAGCTTAGTACTGTCCACTGTGAGTCCTCATCAGCAGCAGGTTGCTGGGGCAGTTGTGGGATCATTTGGCAAAGGCAGGCAGACTCAGCTGCTCCCATGTTTGCCTGGGTGACACGTTCTTCATCCTGACCACGGCCAGAGGCTGTATCACCGTGATGGCATGTGTGTCAAGGTCACACGCTGACCCAACGAGCAGCATCAAGGAGTGAAATTCCCCATAAGCGCAGCCTCTACATCAGGTTCAGATAGTCTTTGGTGCACCTGAACTCTCTCCAGTGGAATCTTAAAAGAAATGAATACGTAAGGCAGGTTTTTACCCTTTCGGTAAAGCTCCCTGCAGGAACGTGGGGAGAAGTCATCCTCCCACGGCATCCCAGGACACCTCCGGAACACAGTCTAGAAGCTGATCGTCTACATTTGCCAGCAAA